CTCTGTCCGTTTTCTATGCGTATCTCTCCTCATTCGTTCTCCTCACTAATACATCCATACCCAATTAGGTGTACATAGACTACATCTCAAGATGGCATTGTCTTCAAGTCATTTCCTGTAGGAAGTGCAACACTTGAGTCTGAGCAGCAGAGCAGCCCTGTTAGCACTGTATATAAGTATGTCTTTATGAGAGAACCTTTATTCTCTCTGCATCTTCAGTTACTTCAGGGAATTCAATGGTAGTGGAATACTTTTTGGAAGGAAAAATCAGTTTACAAGTTAATAAAATGGGTATAATAAGGCCAGGTAGTGGTGGCGCATGCCTTTAATCCCAGCACTCGGGAGACAGAAACAGGTGGATCTCTGTGAGTTGGAGGCTAGCCTGGTCTACAAGAGCTAGGTTCAGCACAGCCAGGGCTGTTACACAGAGAAACCCTGTCTCAAAAAGCAAAAACAAAACCAAAAAAATGGGGATAAATACAATAATTGAGAAATGAAGACAGAAAGATTGGGAGTTCAAGGCCAGCCTGGCTTACATACCGAAACCCTGTCTCAAAACAAAGAAATTGAGAGCAGTAGTTACCAACTATGGATCATAGAAACATGTTCAATTTTTGTGTATCTTTTAGAATGTTAGAGGTAGCATATTAAAAGCAGAAAGCCAATCATAAGATGGATATTAGAAAGTATCTTAATCTTAAACTAAATGGGTCCTTTGTTAACAAACTGTTCATTATTTTGAGAGCATTTTCTTCATTGAAAGTAAAAAGACATAGTGGGTCCTTGTATTTGAATTTGGTAAAGTAAAAATATAACATATTAAAAATTGGCACATATTGGTACCAGCAAATCAAACATGATAGTTCACTTAGATTTCTTTACCAGTTATTACTGCTAATATATTCCCAATCTTACTGAATAAGAAACAAGAGGTGAAAAAGATTTAAGAATTGTGTATATAGGGCTGGAGGGATGTCTCAGTGAGAAGAGAGTTGTCTGCTTTTCCAGAGGATATGAGTTTTGATTTCCAGCACTCATATGGCAGATTACAACCATCTCTAACTCCAGTTCTGGGTGCTCTGATTCTTTCTTCTGATGTCTGATGCACTTTCTTCTGATGTCTGAGACATACATGTAGGCAACTACTCACCAACATAAAAAGAGAATTGTGTGGAAACGAGCACCTTATTGCTAAAAGGGAAACCTAATTTTTGTCCATCTGTAATTCATGTAGTAACAATTCATAGAAGACAAACTTGAGTTGTATCAGAATATAATGTTTTATTAATACTCTAAGTAGATGCTTACATTTAATCATTCTTTGTGCTTCACAGGTATTCAGCAGTTGAGGAATTGTTTTCATGTTAGATACTATTAAATACCTTGGGTTTATGAAGACCTGGGTGTCAGACATGTCCATACCTACCTGTGCTATAACAGAGAGACAAATGAATATCACAAAAGAATCAAACACCTTGGGAATTCAGAGAAGAAGAGTAGTTGAATTTGACTTGTCTGATAGGAGGAGATAGTATTTTCCATAGCTTGTGGAGGGCTAGCATTCCAGAAGAAGTATTGTAAATGAATGTATTTACAAGGGCAGAATAAATTGTAAAGACAAACAGTCCAGTTGATTGGTGAATAATGGTGCAGCACCGAAGACAGGGATGTGGCCGATCAAGTGGGTTATAATATGAGCGAATGTGTAAGAGGACGGGAGGAGCCTTTTTCATCCCCAGCTGTGGAATGTAGACTTGACTAAAGGAAGAGTGAAAGGTGTTCAGCCAGGGGAAGAGAAGCGAGTTGTTATTGTTGACAGTACGTGAGCAGGCTGTCAGAGGGGGTGAGGAGGGGATGCCTTAGAGCAGGAGCCGTTAGGTGACTGGAAGAGGTTCCTGAGAGTAGCCCCAGAAAGAAAAGATGAGGTTACCAAAAGCCTAAGATTCCAGTTTTAATGGCACCATGGGGTGGTTAAAGATGGAGAAAGTTAGGGATGGGTTGGTTGTGTAGCTAGAATTTTACATGTAGCATTGTTTATAACTAACTTTAGCATTTAAAAATAAAAAGTTACAACAGTTTTATTCAGCCATGAAGTCAAATGAAATTGCCAGAAAATGGATGGCACTGGAAAGGATTGGACTCAAACACAATGTCATGGTTCTTGAGTGGATTCTAGCTTCTTGCTGCTGAGTATGTTTGTCTAGGTGGGAGGTAGGAGGAAGACAATAGGACAGAGCGGAAGGAGAATACCCAGGGCCATAAGGGCCCTACATCAGGAAAGGAAATGGGGGTTGATAGTCAACCAAAATGAAATATGCTTGGAAATGTTACTTTGTAAGAGATTTAAAAATACCAGGTCAGAGATGTGGAAGCCAGAGTGGATAAATATGCCCACAATGACAGAATGGATAGAAGACAGGTAGGTTTGAGGGCCAGGGAGGGTTGGACAAGCCAGAGGTTACTGAGGATGAAGACAAAGTATAGGGAACTGAAGAATTCTAAATGAAGAAAAAGTGAGCTATGAATCAGGTGGACGTGTGTTCACAAAGAACCCAGCTCCTCCAGCAACAGCACTGAAACCCGAAATCACCAGCTCTGTAAAACGACAGACTCCTCATGATTCCTCTTTGAAGAGGAATGAGACTTTGCACGTCCTTATCCCCGACCTTTGACATACATAAAGCATCCAGTAAGTTTTCCCTTTTTATTTTCTGACTTTAGGAGTTGGCAGGTGTCTAGCCTGAGCACTGAGAGCCTCATCTTAACTCTGTAGTGCTCCCTCACAGCTGCAGGTGGAAGAGGGAGGGGTTTCCTGGGCTTTACTGAACAATAGGCGAGTGACTTCCCCTGCTCTGTTGAATGGGGCTAAAAAGTTTAGCTGCCTGTAGCTATTTTTGGTAATGTGGACTTTAATCAAAAAGTGAGCCTTACAATAAAGGAAGTTCTTTGTAAAGTTGTATTGAAAAATAAATACTCAGACTTAGTTAAGCTAACTCCCACCCTAACTAAAAATAAATTGGCTCTAGTTACAACAGCAACAATACTAAAAAGTTGTTTCTATAGTTTCTAGAGCGCCATCACAGGTTCACTGTAGAAAAATGAAATCAAAACGCTCTATAAACTATAATTCAACTTTGATACACTGAGTCTCAGAAAAGAGCGAATGGACATGGCAGTGACAACTAGGTTAGTGCTTGCAGTTACAGCCTTCGTGTAGACGACAGCTCTACAGTATTTTAGTTAATGCTGTGTAATAGATACTTGGCACAGACTTTGTTAGGCTTTTTCATTGCATAAAAAGAATCTTCAGGCTTCAGTGTCTTAAAAGGAAGCTTTGCATATCTAAGTAAAGTTAAGGCACTACATAATTGTCCTCTCACTGGATTTGTCGTTGAAGTTGAAGCAGTTGATCTTGTGATGTGGTATATGGCCTGAGGGCATCCTTGAGAGTTCTGTGTCTACTTGGCACTGCAGAGGACAGGATTCCTTCTACCAAAGCAAGTCTCTTAGTCATGGCATATGCAACATTTACCCTGATTTCTTATACACCACACATTTTTGGTATTTGCCATTTGCTACCAGGAATGAGGAGATTGTACCTGTGGGCAAATCCTACCTATGGCACTGATTTTGTCAATTATGTTTTCTTGGAACAGAGCCACATGTAACTTGTTCTCTACATCACGTGACAGAGCTGAGTGACCACAACAGGAACCATGGGGATTAAAATATCTACTGTCTTGTTCTTTGTAGAATTTGCTGGCTCAACTAAGTGTGAATCTGACCTTGAGAGCAGAGCCACATTATAGAAGCTAGACCTTTAGGAAGGAGTCTACTGAGAAGGCTAAAGGCCACATAGTTAAAGGCGAGCAGCACGGCAGTGAACAGCTCCCCCATGACCTGACCACTATTAAGTGCTCAGTGACCACCTACTCCATTGGTCAGTGAATCCTGAGAACCTGCTTTGCCTTTCGGGTAGAAAGAACAAATTCTTTGGAAGCCAACTTGATCGTGTTCAAAGCTGACACAAGGAGCGAAGGACCTTTTCACGCTATTACCCAGAACTGTAACCTCTAGTTACAGTTTGCTTTCAACATGGACTGGTTTTACTATTGAGCCCTGGGAATTTTATATTCAGACATCAGCCGTTGTGGTTAAACATCTAAGAAAACATGAGACCCATGTCTCTTTTCAGCCATGGTTTCTCATGTGCCCTTGCTGTATCAAGCAAGGTGGGCGTCAAAATGAGCTCATTTGTTTACATTTTACAGATAGGGCAAACACCTCTCTCCCCCAAGTCCCTTTTTCATTATAAGCAGATTGACAACCCCTTATCTTCAGCAGTGGGGGACCTGCCCAGCTCTGAATTGCTCTTAGAGATAGGTATAAGATCACCTCAGGCAGAGCAAGGTGTCTGCGAAGTTGTGTAGGTTCTAATAGTGCACTCTGATGTCCAGGTCACTGAGCCCCTCCAAAGGAGGTTCAGGAAATGGAAATAGCAGCAAGAAGCTCTATTCGTGTTGACCTTGGTTCTGAGAAGTGAAAGTAAACAGAAGTGCAAATCCTTGGGCGTAGGCCCGAGTCCTGGGCTTCCCTTACGGATATCTTAGAGCAAAGGACCACAGGAAGATGGGGTATTTTGTGGTAAGAAGGTTCTGGTGGGAATTTTGAGATCAGAGTTTCCATTCTTTAGAGTATTTCCTAAACACACAAGCCACTCTTGCACAGAGAGCACATGCATTGTATACTTGCCTCTTAGGTTAGCTTCACAGTCCATGATATATTAAATTTTCTAAAACTTTGAACATTCATTTGCATTTCACAAAACTCTGAATATTACCAGGTATTTCACTTCTCTTTAGTTCAGACACAGGATCCCAGTCTGTATTTTAAGTGGTGACAAGAACTCTTTGCTTAAAATAACAATTTCAGCTAAACTAGAGGTCATAAAAATTATGATGTCATTTCCTCATTCATCTCTTTGCAAATGTAAGACAAAGCAGGTTTTTATAATATTTTAATAACTTGTATGACAACTGGTTTTGGCGCATCTTGAAAGTGGAATTCTTTTAAATTATAAAGGATTTTGTGTGCTTGAAATCCTAGAAAAGAAAGAAAAAAATCCTAAATATAATGTACTACTTCATATATAAATGCATTCATATAAATCTTAAGAATATTAAACTATAAGATTTTTAGAATTACAGTCAGTATATATGTAACTAAATCTAATTTTATGGACAATTAAGCAAAAGCTAGAAGCGAAAAAGCTTGAACTTTGTTGAGAATAAAGAACTTGGGCAGGAGTTAGTACTAGAGGACCGCGGCTTGTTAGACATGTGATAAGGCACTGTTGCTGCTCATCCAATAGTGCACAAGGCAACACGGCAATGTGACCCAACACTGTGAGGTGGGAAACCCTGCTGCAGGCAAAACTCAACTGGAGGCTTGTGGAGCTGATGAGGGTAACTGAGAGGAAGATCAGAGAGAAAGAGAGAGAGAGGGAGGGAGGGAGGGAGGGAGGGAGGGAGGGAGAGAGAGAGAGAGAGAGAGAGAGAGAGAGAGAGAGAGAGAGAGAGAGAGAGATCCTTTCCCTTTAATTTGGAGACAAAGTCCTTTTTATTGTTTGAAAGGATGAAATTACTTTATTCCAATCTTAGAGACTTTCACTGTAAATTATAGATGATAATAGGACATGGTATTTGTTCCCTAATTAAAGATTAGTGCAATAAACTACAAAATGTAACTTTTGTCGTAGCTCCTAAAGTAAGTAGATTTTAAAGAATTTTACAGGAAAAAAAAAACTTTACAGAGCAATAAATGGGTGTTGTATACATCTTCTACAAGAACCTAAATGTTTAAGTTACTGATGCCTGAATTCTGCTGGAAGAGTCTAGAATCCCTTCCCTAGAGTTCTGAGGGGTTCTGGGAATCCTCTTTTCTCAGGAAAGGGTTTAAGCTTCCTGAGAATGTTAAATTACCAAGTAGTCTAGCAGGTTCCAATGATGTTCTCTAATTGAATTCAGCTAGATGATAATTTCCTTTTACTGCAGTAGCAGATGCTGTTTTATATCCCTAACATTTCCAAATGCTTGGAATAACCAAGTTCTAGAACTGTAGCATGGTAACAGCTGGGTAGACTTCAAAGACACAGGGTACCTGGACTCCACATTCCACCAGTGTTAGCCTGTGAGAACTTGTACTCGGTTTCCTCTTCTATCAAAACTGGCTGAAAATGCCAGACTCAGTCACATTAAGAAGGTAGACTGAGAGCTGAATGCCCCCAACAGAAATAGGATGAAAATCACTTCCTGTAATTGCTCTGTAAATGTCAAATGTCTTTATCATGCCGACCCAGATGGAAAGAAGTGAACATTTACTTAGATCCTTTAGTCTAGCAGTGGTAGACACAAACCTAAAGTATTAAGAATGTCATCACAATATCCATACATCTGCTTCATTTCCCTGCCATAGTCCCTAAATGTGCCTATTCTATAAACATGCTTTATTAGTACTTACGTTTTCACTCATTGCCATGGCTTTAGATGCAGGACTGCCCTTCCTGTTTGTAGAACACAAAGACAGTATTTACTTTATTATTACTTCCAATCATGGAACCCATCCTTATTCAGCAGAACTATCTTAGCCAGGCAAGAAGAAAAAGCAGCAGCCCAGACTGGTTCCTGACATTTATAGACAGTACCCAGAGAAGCCACGTAACAAAGTACAGGTTTGTGTGAAATCCTGAACAACAAAATGTAGCCTAAGGCTAACATGTTAAATTGTTTTTGTGGAATACACAAACAAGGGACTTACTTTCAACCTGATATAATAACATAAATATTTTAAAAGTTTGATTATTATAATCTGAAATTTCATTTGCCCATGGAAAGTTTTACGTGTTGATTAGGGTTCTAGTAGAAGCTCGATGTGAAGACTACAGGTTTCATGAGTAGACATAAGGTGTAAGGAAATAAAATGTTCCTTCCTGGATTATGAAGGTTCCTGCCTGATTTAACAGAGGCTCAAAGAAGGATAGTATAACCCCCCCCCCTTTATTTAAGATTGCTTTCACTCTGTTCAAAAAATGCTCCAATCATTTTGCATCATTAAATAAAAAATTTAAGTGCTCACAGTTGCCTGGGGCGGGGTTGGTGACTATACACCCAGGTTGTTCCGTTCTTCTGAATTTCCCCTTTGCTAATCCTGATATGTAGACTTTGACCTGTACTTATTATACTGGAATGCCATGAGATTGAGACACCAGGGTTGAGGCAGGCATGACAGGTGAGTCCTCAAAAGGATTTAAGAAAAGCCACGCCAGCTGGGAAGAGGGAAGAATGTACAGGGGATTTGCAATGCCCATATATAAAGAGAAGCCATGCCAGCTGGGAAGAGGGAAGAGTGTATAGGGATCTGCAATGCCTGTCTATAAAGGGTGGGCAGTTGTAGAGCAAGTGCAATGAAACTGGGACTTTGATGATCTTATCCATGTCTTAGGCATTACTCCATTTTTTTTTCTCCCAGGGGTGGGAGAGATGTTTTGGTGGTTAAGAACACTTGCAAAAGCCAGGTGGTGGTGGTGCATGCTTTTAACCCCAGCACCTGAGAGGCAGAGGCAGGTGGATCTCTGTGAGTTCGAGGCCAGCCTGGTCTACAAGAGCTAGTTCCAGGACAGGCCCGAAAACTACAGAGAAACCCTGTCTCAAAAAAACAAAAACAAACAAACCAACAAAAAAGAACACTTGCGGCGGTGGTGGCGCACGCCTTTAATCCCAGCACTCGGGAGGCAGAGGCAGGCGGATCTCTGTGAGTTCGAGACCAGCCTGGTCTACAAGAGCTAGTTCCAGTGAAACCCTGTCTCAAAAAATCAAAAAAAAAAAAAAAAAAAAAAAAAAAAAAAAAAAAAAGAACACTTGCTAATCTTGCAGGGAACTGGGCTCCCAGCACCTACACAGTAGCTCACAACCATCTGCAATTCCAACCCCTGGAGATCTGACACCCTCTTCTAGCCTCCATGGATACTGTATGCACTTGGTACACAGTCATACATTCAGGCAAAACACTCAGACACATAAAAATAAACTAAAAAAGAATATTCCCCCCCAAACTTCACATTCATATATATTCTGTTACTGATTATTTTTACTTAAGAGTTTAGTAAGCTTATTGAGTACTGAAAGTTCAAGCACTCTGGACCTCTCTCCCAAGGTCATACCCTCTGCAGTCTTCCAAGCTCAGTAAGTAGAGGATACTCCTTTAACCCTGAAGCCACCTCCCACTTTCCGTTTTTTCCTAACAGCCTGAATAGAGATCAGGTAATTGCTCAGAATATATCCACTATGCTATAAACCCTCCAGGACTCCAACGCCCCCATGGATACTGTATGCACTTGGTACACAGCCATACATTCAGGCAAAACGCTCAGACACATAAAAACAAACTACCATAAGCTATGTTGTCTTGGTTAATATTTGTTTTCTAATTGATCTACCTGCTTTCACCATTTCTTCCTTAAAGTTTATCCTTAACAGAGAAACCAAGATGAACATCAAAGAATTAAAATTTTTCAAGCTGCTTACAGCCCTTCGTGGACTTCCTATGTTCCTTAGAACCAAAGCCAAATGCCTCAAAATCCTCAGACCTCCAATACTCTCACGTGCTCGCTGCCTCTCTTCTCATACTGCTGGAAGCACAATGCTCGTCTTCATATCTTCTGATATGAGCATCCTGACCTTGAGTCCTTTTGGGTTATTTTTCCTCCCCCTTCTGCAAGAACACCAATTGTGGACATCTGCTTGCCTTGCTTTCGTCCTCGGTCTTCACCAAACATCACCTATCGCCCTCCCTGCGAGGCCCTCCGTTTGAATGACAGTCTCCGCTCTCTGTAGTCTCTGCTTTCTTACTTGTTTTATTTTCCTCCATAGCTCTTGTCTCACTCTGAAATGCTCGAGAGTGTACAGGCTTACTTATTTTCTGCTCCTGGAATGTGAGCTCCATAATGATATTTATTTTGACACGTGATTTCCAGTAGTGATTTTGTGGGTGTTTTGGCCTTTGAAAAACTGATTATGGCAGTGCCTAGAACAGTGTGGGGCACAAATCTGATTAAATTTCAACTAAGGGTAAAAATTACTAAATGAAAGCTTATTTAAAAATGTTTAGTGAAACATAGAAACGTGTTTTTAAAGTTGTACTATGGAAATGTCTACAAAATTAGAGACCATGTTCTTCTCCTGCTGTTTGTGAGCAGGCACAGAGGTAGTATGTATTTCTTGACGAAGGCAATTAACTTCTAACAGGATTAGTCTATACAAATAAACCATTTTTGACATTAAACAGATGATAAAGAATAAAAGATATGAAGAAAAACGTGTTACAAAAGGATACTTACTGGAAGGAAGATTCTTCTGCAAAAGAACAAGTATAGATCATTAGTGCAAGAATTAATATGCAGATCTATCTATAGTGACTCTGGCTTGACTCCCTTTAAGTCTCAGCTGTAACATCTATACCTTCTAAATGAAAATTTCCTATAAAATGATATGTACACCAGATGTTTGGGCTTTGAGGGCTCAGGGGTAAATTCAAGAATACTTTGGAATTATATAATCAAGAAGAAAATAAAGTTTCAAAAATGTTATTAAAATTTAAAGAAATAATAATTGTCACATTTGCTTATTAATTAAAATAATAGGATTCTTTAGGGATAAGGCTAACATTTCTTTGAAATGTGGTCCCAAGGTAGTGTTACTATTATTAAGTAATTTGAAATTGATCATAAATTCAAGGTCAGCAGGGCAGTTTAGTGTGACCTGTGTCAAAGAAGCAAAAGGAAAGCTGGCCATGTAGCTCAGTAGCAGATTGGTAGTCTAGTGTGTACAAAGTCTTGGGTTCATTTTCCAGTTCCAGAAGGCAAAAAGTAGAAAGAAAAGAAAAACAGATATAAACTGGGCTTGGCTGGAGGTTAAAGTTTGCAGATGCGGATCCCAAAACACAAGTTTAAAAATACAGTTGCAGGCCAGGCAGTGGTGGCACTCGCCTTTAATCCCAGCACTGGAGACAGAGGCAGGCGGATCTTTGTGAGTTCAAGGTCAGCCTGGTCTACAAGAGCTAGTTCCAGGACAGGCTCCAAAGCTACAGAGAAACCATGTCTCAAAAAACCAAAAAACAGGGTTGCCTTGGACAGGTTTTCTGCCATAGCAAAATGGAAGTAATAATTTTAGCTAATGAACTCTTAAGTCCCATGTCAGTTCTCAGTATTTTAAGAAAAGTATCTTTACTGATTCCTCTTTTTTTTGTTTTGTTTTGTTTTGTTTTGTTTTTCGAGACAGGGTTTCAAGACTGAGTGCTGGGATTAAAGGCGTGTGCCACCAGCGCCCGGCTACTGATTCCTCATTTAAAAGTCATCAGTGTTTTTTTCTAAGTAGGTAAAAATGTCAGGAACTTTGAATGATAATTTTGTTCATACTTTCACTGTTGCCCAGCAGGGGGACACAGCTATATTCTAGTCATAAAATAGGCTAGGCTAGGCTCAACTCTGATTCACAGAACAGTTCACACTCTTATTTTCTTGACACAGGGTCTTACTTTGTAGACCAAGTTGGCCTTGAACTTGATCTTACTGCCTTAACCTTAGGAGTGTTGTAATTACGTGTGTGAACTCTGTGCCCAGCAGTAGCTAAGCATAAGGAATTACCTTGAATCAGCTTCCAAGGAAATATATCTGGGTTTTTTTTTTTTTTTTTTTTTTTTGAAACAGGGTTTCTCTGTGGCTTTGGAGCCTGTCCTGGAACTAGCTCTGTAGACCAGGCTGGTCTCGAACTCAAAGAGATCCGCCTGCCTCTGCCTCCTGAGTGCTGGGATTAAAGGCATGCGCCACCATCGCCCGGCCATGGAAATATATCTGATGCATAACGTTTATTTATGTTATAAGGAACTCCTTTTGATTTTGTTTTATTTTGATATGAATAATTTTCAACCTAAGTTCTAAAACTAATAACCATTATTAAGCAATGGGTCTAAAATTCATGCATGTTTGAACTTATTATTTTAGTTAAAAATTCAACTTCATACACTTTTGTCAATGCAGCAAGTAAAAGCTCTGGAACTTTCATAAATTTAAACACAAGGAGAAAGTGAATACATTAAGAGAATTAGATATGTTTAAATCTCAAAAAGTATAGAAAACTGATTGCATAGTCAAATGTATTTTGAAGTTACAAGAGTTTAACCAGGAGGAACTAAAAACCTTGTCTGGAAGCATCTCTAACTTAGTAGGGTCTATGTGTGCTCATTGGTTTTGTTTGTAGCTTATTTGAAACAGGATCTCACTGTATATAGCCCAGGCTGGTCTCAAACTGACTCTTCTCATGACACCACCCTGCCCTCCTGATCTGGGATCCCAGACATATATCACCATGCCCAACTAGGTGTCTAGTTTTGGTTAACAATTTTCTTTATAGTTGTACGAAATTAGACATTTGACATTCTACAGTTTTATATGAAAACATTTCACTGGTGGTTGTAAAATTAAAAATCAGTGTCTATCCTGAAAGAGATAATTCCAACTTAAAATATAAGGATCCCACAATATGTTAATACACCATAAACATTCGTCTACGTTGAATGTCTGTGTTGTTATAGCCTCCAAGGATAATTCTCACACAGTCCATAGAATTGCCTAGAAGTTTTCAAAAGAGAAGCGTTCTCCACCTCACCCCACCCCCGCTCTGGTTGCCAAGGTGCATCCCAACCCTTATACGTGTTATTGTGGACATTATCTATGGCACAGTGGCGGTAAAACTGCTCTCCAGAGTGGGTAGAACTTCATAGGAGAAACGGTGTACCTTAAAAAGAAATCGCTCTGCTCGCAGGAAATGCCATATCTGAGAGAGGAATTCCACTTACTTGAAAAGTAGCCTTTTCTCTGAGCATAGCACACACTAAGGCCACATACAGAAATCACGAAGGTCACAACTACTACAGCTGCTATGATGCCACTTATGTTGAGAACATCTGGAATGTGAAATAATGCGTGCATGAATTCATGGACACATACCATCATTAAATCCAACAGAGTCATAAAAGCTCTCCTTGGTAACAATGCTAAGGATACATTTAACTAAGTCAATTTAACTAAGTTAATTTCAAGACGTGGCTCAAAGCTGATTGAAAATATTCAGAGAACCAAGTTTTGCTAAAATCTTAAACGTTAGGATTGGCAAGATGGCACAGTGTGTAAAGGTACTTGCTGTCTGTCTAGAACACAATCCCCGAAACCCTTCTCTGACTTCCACTCGTGGCCTGGGTTTGATCCCTATCGGTGGGGGTGGCGGCTATGCTCTCTGAGACTCGTATTTCCTAGGAAAGATTTGTAAGCTGTCATTCTCTTGGATTCTAAATGTCACTTTGTGAAATGTAATATACTGGTAGCAACAGTCTGAATAATCTAGACCTGTAACTAGATTTCGTGTGTCTCTTGGAAAAACCTACTTTGAAATTAGCATAAGCTTAGTGTTTCAGGGCATTGACACAACCATCGCCAGCGCCTTAATAACAATAACCCATGTGGCTAACATGGCTACAGCACGTAAGCACTGCTGTATTATTTTCATGGAACCCCAGGAAGAAAGACATTGTGACATCGAGCACAACGCCTGCCCAGTGTTGTGACTGCAGGGACCGACATGCGCAGCAAGCTGGCAGCACACGTTTATGCGGGCTCCCAGGAACATACTGTAGCACGCTTGGCCGTGATTTTTTTTTTAACACAGATTTTTCTAGAAGCACATTTTAAAACATTTATTTGAAAAATTAAAAACATGGTTATGTATAAGCCAAATTGTCTTGTCTCGATTAGAAGAGAGACTGAAAACAATACTGCTTTTTTTTTTTATATTAAGCTCATTTTACAATTTTTCCAATTGTCCTTCAAATCACTCAGCCCCTTCCATCCCCTGGGTCCTTTAGTCATGACTGTTCCACACTCCACTCCCACACCAGTGCTTACCTACTTGCATCCGTTTCCCGGGGCACCTGCGGTGTCCGACAGAATTACGGGCTTCACAGTAGTACTCTCCACTGTCCATCTTGGAAATCATGTTAAATTGCTATTTGTACAAAGAAAAATATTTTTTTTAACCTTTAAACTGTAAATCTGTGAGTAGACTCCTAAAAAACTAATGAATTTTGTCATCAGCTGGGTCTGTCCTTTGTAATGACTCAGAACTTGATATTTTTCTTGTGAACTGAGTGTGTATCTACTAGAATCTGCCAGGACTTCGAGAAGTAAATAGCTAGGCCTATTTAATTTGACAGAAAAAGCAAGACTCTCTGAGGAAATCTGTCTGTCTGTCTTCCCCCATTCCCTGCTACCTTCAACAGTATGCCACGATGTTGCCCAGGCTGGCTTCACACTCTTCGTCCTCCCTCCGTAGCCTTCCAGAAGCTGGCATTACAGCTACATGTCTCCTCCATACCTCTAGTTTCGGGGAGCGCCATTCATTGGTGCACTTTCTCAGTCCCAGAGGGTTCCCTGCAGGAGCAATCACCAGCACTTTCTCCAAAGAGTCAGAGCTGTGGCCAGGAAGTGGCTCTGGACCCAGGAACCCTCAACGGATGTTTATAGGATTGTAAATTATAGCAATTCCAGAGTGTTTGGAAATTCTGGAAAGATGAAAGTTCAACCCTTACTACTTCTTCCTGCCAAGTCACAAGAGGTAAGAATTGGTATAAAAGGCTTTCTAGTTTGTAGTAGTAATTTGATCGCCTTGGAGAGTTCTGGAAGGGTGGGATCTGGGGGGGGGAAGATCGGAGAGCCCACTCCAGTGTAAGCTGCCTATTAGCAGGAGATGGCCTTCTAGATGCCCCGAGGGCTGAGGTTCCCGCGGAGAGTGTATCCTAGCATTTCAGACTTGCCTCGGGCTTTCATCACCCACTCAGAAAAAAAAATAAATCCAGGAGTAAATATAGCAGAGTGTGACAGCAGGTGTTGTGCCCAACGTCACAGTGTAAAATCGCTCGGACCTGCTGACTGCTCCCGAGGACTGGAAAAGGCTAGGGCATGGCCTTGTTCTGTGCACAGCAGCCTTTCTCTCTCTCTCTCTCTCTCTCTCTCTCTCTCTCTCTCTCTCTCTCTCTCTCTCTCTCTCTCTCTCTCTCTTTCTCTTTCTCTCTCTCGCTCTTCATTTAGCTACAGAACTAGTGTGCTTTTCTGGGCATCAGAAGATCTGGCTTCTATGTGGTACCGCACTAGCAGAATATAAGGAAAGGCTGTATCTTTGTTTCAAAATTCCTAAGACGAATTTTAATGTTGCCTGTAAGAGTGGTAGTGATTTTGAGTTGCTGAAAACAAAACATTTAAAACCCAATGTGATATTATCTGTATTGGAAACAAATGACTTCAAATTAAATGACCTGATTTTTTTCTTTTTCAGCCCACCTCTACTCTGAAAATTCACAGACGAAAAAGTAAACATGGTTTATAAAAATGTCACTAAGCTTGAACAGCGTATTTATGGAGCCTCTCAGTTTCCCCTAGGGAAGGAGCAAACAACCAAATCAATCCAAGTTAAGGTACTAGATAAGTAAGCCACAGAGACTGTAGTGAAAGAAAGATCTGGAGCCTTGGGGAAGTTTAATGACCCCAACATCCTAACATGGTTTTCCTGTGGTCGCTGTTTCCATGGTAGCACTGAGGTCCGTGTGTCCCCAGCTGAGTTTTTTGTGCATTTCCTCTGCAGTGTAAGTTGAGGCTGAGGTCAGTGACTTTCCAGGCCTGAGAGGTAGCTAGAGAGTAGTACTGCCTGATCCATCATGAACAAGGTTTGGCCTGCCCCCTACCTGGTCACACCTTAGCCCCCTGGTTGCCTGTACCGTTTCCCACTTCCCATGATGTCTGTCCCATCATTTATTAATTACATGCGCTATCCTCTCTCCTGCTCCCACCTCCTCTCCCCACTTAGTACGTAATGATATTGATCTGTCATCCTATATAATTTTAGGTTCAAATAACCATTTATTTCATCACAATGACGGTTAGTGTTTAATACCTGAAATGGCCTTACCAGAATTCCAGATTTTGTATTCATTGTGTATGAGCTGTTGTGTTTGCCAAGCTTTTGGTTCCCTAGTAAACTGGTGCCGTCTTTAAACCATGTGTATTCGGGAGCGGGGTTGCCTTCTTTCTCTTGACACCGCAGCTCTACAACACTCCCACTCATGACAGAAGTGGGCACTTCACAGGTAGGAACTGCAGGAGCCACTAGACAATGGAAGCCAAAGGACAGGCTATTCATCGGCTGAACATGAATTTTAATAGTCTGCATTGAGGGGATACCTGAGGTACCGATGGGCCACTAGTCACTAGATGTATTTCCTTTTTTTCCTGGGCAAACAACATACCATACTTTTTACCCTTCTTGCTGCCAGGGGAGTTACATGCATTAGTTTGGGCCAAAGGAATGTAAGTAAAAGTGATACAGCCATTTCTACATCTAACCTATTAAAACTTCACGTACGCTTCATTTGCTCACCTTATCCTCACCTCTTACCAAGTAGTTGTCATTACACTTGCGCTTAGAAAGTCATGTATTGAAGATGCCAGACCGACCAGTATTTTTATGAGTCTCATTAGTTCATAAAGTAGGGTGTTGGGGTTTGGATATGAACTATCCTCCCCATGGGCTGGTTCGTGGGTTTGAACACTGGGCCCACAGATGCTGGTATTGGGAAGGTTGCGAATGACTTGTGAGCAAGTGTGTTGCTGAGGACTGGCCTTGAGGTTCGCACCTTAGTTCTGCTCCTGGCCCCTCTGCTCTCTGATCTGCCAGGATGTGAACAAGCAGCCTCATGCTCCCAAGGCCACAGCTGAGCTGGTCCCATCTCCATGACTTCTCTATCATGCTGGACTTACATACACTCAAAACATGAGCATTCTAGACCAGGCTGGTCTCGAACTCACAGAGATCTGCCTGCCTCTGCCTCCCGAGTGCTGGGATTAAAGGCATGCGCCACCATCGCCCGGCTAACATGAACATTCTTTAAGTTGCTCCTTGTCATGTAGGTGGTCACAAAAATGTGGAAAGTTGGTAATAGCAAAAATTGGCGCCAAGAAGTGGAAACATTGCTGGAACTCTCTGAGCACACATTTCATAAGCTATGGAACTAATTTGCAGAACTGTAATAGAGTTTGGACCTGTAGGCTAGAGAGGCCCTATACTGCTATATACAGAAGCTAATGGTTTATTCTGGTGGGTGTGGGGAAGATAAGAAGGCCAGTAGTATACAGGTAAACAATAAAGACTGTGCTTGCTTACAAGGCTTTCAAGGGGATGAAGGACTTGCCTTGAATCATAAACTGGATCAGAGGCCAATTACTATGACATTCAGACAAAGAATCTGGCTTCATTCTGCCGGTGTCCTGAGAACCCGGGTAAGACTAAATCTAAAGGCAGGGGGCTGGGCTGTTTGGCTGAGGAAATCTCAAGGCAGCATAGTGTGCGGGCTGCGCGTGGTACCTTGTCACTGCTTTCTGTCAGATTTACAAGGAGGAAGTGAAAAGATATACAAGTGAAGTCTGTAACCAGCAGAGGTGCACAGAAGTGTTTGAATTGCAGGCTGAGGGCAAGGTGAGTCCAGACAAAGCAGCTGTAACTGTTAAACACACTGGCACCGTGAAGGAAGAAAGGGTGCCATGAGCGGAAAACCCCTCATCAAGAAGAGTTCCATGGTGTGACAATTCAAATTCCTGTAGAGGGAGCCTTCCTGAAAACACAGCCTTGTAGGCGTCTTTCTGTAAAGCAGACATCAAAGGAAGATTTCTGCCCCAGTTCAGTAGCAAAGGCACATAGAGGCTGTTAGAGCTGAGGTCCAAGATGGTCAGGACCCATCTTAGCCAGCTACAGTACTTGGCATTAGCTCGGTGCTGCTGGTCTGTCTATTTTCAGGCATTCTGGTTCAAGAGGAAGACAGTTATACCAAGAGCCCAGAAAGATGTTCCAACAGCTGTGTAACAGTTTCAGATTCTTTGCATGGAGCTCTTGTGTGGCCTGGATGTGAAACTGTGAGGGTAAAGCCCAAATTAAGTGAGAGCCCAGGGTATTAGAATTGTCAGACGCACAGGACCTTCACTGAGAAATCATTCAGGCACCAAATGGAGCTATCTAAAATGAGAAGCCTGCTGTGTCTCAAGTAACAGAACAGTGGGGCTACCCAAGGTCATTGAGCCCAGGTGACACCACCAAAGGCCCAGGTAGTATACATGGAGCTGTGGAGTTTGGTACTTTTCATTCTGCCTTGGGCTAACTTTGGCCCAGCCTTTCCTTTCCGTGACCCCATTATTCCCCTTTGGAATGGGAATGTTTATTGTGAAACACTGTATATTTTATTTGTTAAGTGTTCATGGTTAAGTGATTGCTTTGAATGATTTAAACTTCAGCCTTTAGAAGAGTGTTTGGGCCATGAGCCTAGTGGTTTCTGAAGTTAGACCAGATGTACTTCCCCTTAGAAAATATCCACAAGTGTATGGGACTCATAGGCAGAATGATAAGATCTGAAATGCCGTGACCCTCATGGACTCCTGTGTTTGAACACTTAGTCCCCCGCTGGTGGTACTTTTGGAGAGGTTGTGGACACTATGAGAAGTGGTCTTTTGTCTTATTATATTTTATTTTATTATAAAATATTTTTAAACTTAAAAAAGAAGTGGGGTCTGATTGGAAAAAGTGGATTTTAGGGATTTGAAGTAAAAGAATTTAGTAGGTAAATATTAATAATCTGGAAAACTCGGGACTGACGATGGTGGACCGAATTCCAAGACAGTCCCCAAATATCTCCATCTTCAGGATGTACACATTGTGTCTCAGATATTCAAAATACAAAAGTACTGTGAAGAAATCCAGCAAATAGAATTGAGATTTGAAATCACCAGGAGGTCGTGGTGGTGCACACCTTTAACTCCAGTACTTGAGAGGCAGAAGCAGGAAAGTTTGAGGCCAACCTCATCTACAAAGTAAGATCCACGACAACCAGAGCTACACAAAGAAACCCTGTTTTTTAAAAAAAGACAAGATTCCAAATCTATTGTCTGTAATATTAAACAGGAGGATTTGGCCGCACAACACGGACCTTTTAAAGATTTACTTATTTATATTTAATGCATACGAATGTATGTATGTATATGCACCAAGTGCATGCAATGCCCATAGAGGCCAGAAGAGGGCAGCAGATCATCAGGACCTGGTGGAGTAACAGGCTTGCCATTTTCCCATGTGGATGCTGGGAAATAAACCTGGGCCAGCTAGGATCATCTAGAGGAGCAACAAGTCCTCTTAACCACTTGTGGCCCATCTCTCCAGTCCCCAGCATGGGGCTTTTAGCTGCAGGGTGAATTCTTCTGAAGGAAATGGCAGCAATGCAAAGTATAAGAAAGACCAAGAATGCCTTTGTTATACTGAAGATGAAAAAGGTAAGGTCACTGGACCATGGGCAGCCTCGAAGAAATGTGTGACTCTAGATGATAGGTAGTTTGATATGAGATCTCAGTCCTACAATCCTAAGGAAATAAAACTCTGCCAACACCTAGAATGAGCTTGGAAACAGATTTTCCCCGGAGCCCAGAGAAAGGAATTCAGTCCATGTAAAACTTTCATTTCAGCCTCGTGGAACACTGAGTAGAACCCAGCCTTGCTACTGGACTTTGCATCCATAGAACAAGAAGTTCATAAAGGACTGTTCTCTTAAGAAAGCGTGTGATCATTTACTGTGCAGCAATAGAAAATGATTATACCAACTAAATCGGCTGCAAGATTCCTGAATTACATTTTCTCTTTACAAGCATGTAAATATACTTTATACTTGGCCTTAGTCAAGAAGCTGAGAGACAATATTACATCAGAAAGATTCTTAGCCGGGCGGTGGTGGCGCACGCCTTTAATCCCAGCACTTGGGAGGCAGAGGCAGGCGGATCTCTGTGAGTTTGAGACCAGCCTGGTCTACAAGAGCTAGTTCCAGGACAGGCTCCAAAANAAACCCTGTCTCAAAAAACCAAAAAAAAAAAAAAAAAAAAAAAACCCAACAACCCAGATTCTTAATGACATTTTTTTAAAGAGAAAAGGTTATTTTTCTTGTTTTTTTTTTTTTAATGTTAACATCATAGAAAAGATGGTCCTACCTACTGCTGTATATGAACTCTTGTGTCTATCAGTCATTCTTATGCTGATTAATCATATTAGCCTTGGAGTTAACCTTATCTGGATGTGGATGACATCTGGATAACATGGTTGGGACTTGTTCTAATTGTGTGGCACTGGGCATATAGTTTAACTTGTTTCTTCATTTGTCAAATTTAATTTTGTAGTGAAGATTGAGTAAAACACTATGTGAAAGCACTTAATGTCTGCTAGCTACCAAATAAATGCTAACTCTTTTGAACCAAGTACTTTCTGATTTTTCTGCTAGTCTAAAATTGCTGTTTCTTTTGTTGATTTTCCATCAACTTATGGGATACCATGAAGAATACTAAAACAAACAAACAACAACAACAACAAAAACCCAGAATCTTGGGCAAGTGTTCATGATCCAGAGAGGAACTATTAGGAGCTACTTCAGTCTTAAACAGAGAGATTGTGGAAATGAATTAGTGATTTCAGCAGCCAGTGAGCTGAGGGGAATAGCCTGGTCTTGCTGAGAAGGCACTTGTAGAATGTGGCGGTCCTGTTGGGGCTGGGTTAGTGTCTCACCCCCAGGGCTGGAGGTGATGGTGGGGTGGCTGACAGGAGTCACACACGTGTGTGCGCATTACCCAAGACTTCTAGGGTGACTGTATCTTCCTGCAGGTTTTGGCCTTGATCAGATGGAGCACTGACTTCACAGCGATACTTTCCGGCATCATTTCTTGTAACATTTTTGATTCGTATATTGAAATCTATCATCTCGGCACGATCTTTAAAGTCGCCTTTTGAGGGGAGAAAAAGATAATAATGTTAGAAACAATGCAAGCAACTTTCCATGTAAGGTCTTCCTCGAGTTACTTCATTCAAAATTAAAGGATTTATTTTCCTGGTAAAACCTTAAATTTAAACTTTGAATTTACACGTGCATATTACGTATTTTGGAAGACATTTCAGACTATTAAAGACTATTTAGTTTCACCACTCTCCCAGGGTCTCTCTATGTAGCCTCGACTGGCCTGAAACTCTCTAAGTAGACTAGGTTGGTCTTGAACTCACAGAGATCTACCCACCTCCGCTTCCTGAGTACAGGGATTTAAGGTGTGTACCACTACCTCCGGCACCACGTTTGATTTTAAAGAACTCAACTGAATGCCTGCCTTGCCACCTGTCTAGTATCTGTTTCTGCTTTCAAAACTAAACAGTTTAATAGCTCAGAACAGAATTTTATATGTGGCCATTCAAGTAATACCAGAGAACATTATGTAGGTGGAAAGGACCTTAAAAGTATTATCTTGATTAGATTTTGATAACTGCAAGTAGTGAATTAAAGTGGGCTTTTTTTTTTTTTGAGCTAGCGAGATGGCCTAGTGGGTACAGGTGCTTGCTGCAGAGTTCAATAATTTGTTTCATCCCAGAGTTCCACATGGTGAAAGGAGAGGAAAATCCTCCTAATTGTCCTCTGACTTCCACATGGCATGCATTCCCCTCTCCCCCAAATAAGTATATGTAATAAAATGAAAAATAAATAAAATAAAATGGGGTTGTATAATATGCAAGTGCCTAAATTGGCAGCTGTAGTAAATGAATGTCAAAATACCTGTTCTATTAGCCATTTGAAATTTGAATCCTATCTTATTGGAGTAGAATCAGATGGAATATTTTATTAATTTGATTTTTTTAATATAGGGTTTTGCCACATGGCTTTGAGTGGCCCACGACTCGTTATATAGATTAGACTGGCCTTAAACCCACAGAGCTCCATCTGCCTCTACCTCCTGAGTGCCTGGAATTAAAGACGTGTGCCCTTCAGTGAGTGTGGTGGTTTAATGAGAAATATCTCTCATGGGCTTATGACTTTGAACATTTGCCCCCCCCCCCAGTTGGTGGCTCTGTTTTGGGAGATTATCAAGCATTTAGGAGGTGAGTATTGCTGGAGGAGATACATCCCTGGACTTCCTTTAGACGTCTTTACTTTCTGTGTATGGATGAAAACGTGATCAGCAAGCTTCCTGACCCACCTGCCACGCCTTCCCTGCTGTGATAGACTCTCTCCCTCTGGAGCGATAAGCCAAAATAAACCCTTTCTTCCTTAAGTTTCCTTCGTTATAGTATTTTCTCACAGCAACAGAAAAGTTACCAACATACAAACTAATGCCATAGTTCAACCACCATCATCACATTTTTATTAGTAATAAATTATAGAATCCGAAGGGAGAGTAGAGAGTGAAAGATGTACAACAAATGAAAAGTACTTGCTAACTGTTATTGTAACTAACGGTCTATGTGTTCCAACTCTCCAGGCTTTGTTTGTATCTATCAGTCCACATATCTGTGTAGCTCGAAGACTAAAAACCCAGAGACAAAAACTGGGATTCAACCCAAAAACCAGAAAAGCAAAGCAGCCTAGTGCACTAGAGGAGTCTTACCTCTTCCAAGGCTCGGCAGCTGCCAACCAAGCAGCCTAAACCTCTCTCTCCTCTCATTTTATATTCCCCTTAGTGCTGGGATTAAAGGTGTGAGGCACCACCACCTGGATTTGTTTCTGCTTTTATCTTGTGTAGTCCAGGGTGGCCTTGACCTCACAGAGATCCATCTGCCTCTGTCTCCCAAATCCTGGGATTAAAGGTGTGTGTCACCCACCAGTACCTGACCTCTAGTGGCTTTAGCTTTGCCTCTGGTCTTCAGGCAAGATTTATTTATTTTTTAAAATACAGATAATATACCACTTTACATCCCAACTTTCCAGGCTTCTCAGTGGTAGGCTTGTTTTCTAGAGGGAAACAGGGAAGGTGGTAAGGCTGCTATTACTGGGCAGCAACCCTAATCCCAATCTCATCTTCTGTTTGTTTTGTTTGAGATAGGGTCTCTCCTTGTAGTCCTATGTAAATCACACTGGCTTTAAACACACAGAGATCTGCATGCCTCTAGAGTGCCAAGATTAAAGGAATGCAGCGCCGTAGGGGTCCAAAGTCAGTGTTTTTCTCCTTACTAACAGCTTAGTTTACCAGGCCAGTGAAATAATTGTGTTTCGTGTTAAGCAACCAAGGATCCCAGGACTCGGTGGAATTCACCTACTTTTGCTCTGTCTGGTTTTTGTGACTTTTGTATTTTAGGTCTCAGACACTATTCATTCCATCTCACACTTACAGAAACACATTTTCAGCAATCAGTCATGTCCTGTTCCGTTCCCACTTGTAAATGAAGGAATATGGGCTGCACTTGATGTCCTCTCACTCTGACCTCTTCAAGTCTGCGGTGTCTTACCTTGCAGAGCCTGTTGGTAGTACACCAAGGAGACACCCTGTCCCAGTTTCTTCCACTCTAATCTGGAGGAGGTTGTCTTCTTTGGGCTTTTACAAGCTAAAATAGCCTCTAGAAACAATAGGGAAAATATGACTTTTAATTGATCCTATGATCTTACGTGTTACTTAATTTAAAAATCTTTAAAAAAAATCTTTAAATGGCTTTTTATAATTTTCTTTGCGTTTCCATCCATCCATTCATCTCCATCCAGTCATACACAGAGACATAAATACATCACATCAATAGGTGCCATGTTTGGCTTCACCCAAAGATGAATTTGGAACATGACAGCTGTTCTCTGTAATAATTATGTGACATAATCCAAGTTCTGGAATCTGAGTTTCCATCGATAAATGGGATAGTGACTCACACAACTGTGAGTCTTCAAAAGCCGCAATTTATGTGAAACATGCAAGCCTAAAAATTGTTAGTACTTAATAATCAGCCACTGTGGCTAATTATTTACTGTTAGACTAAGTCTTGGCATCTGAGGAGTCTAAAGTTTGATGGCAGATGCAGGCAAGACAATGTCATTTCAGGCAAAGATGATGGGCATCAAGAAGGAGGCCAAGGGGAGTACTTAACATTTTCACCTAAGAAAGACCCTTAACCCATCTCAGGCATGCTGGGAAAACGCACAGAAGTTCCTCACAGGCTACATTCCCCCTGGTGACTCACTCTATATACACCTAATATAGCCTTATACTAATTGTAGGTTCCTACTGCAAAAGGACTGCCTATAACTGTGCCTGAATCTGGAGAAATTATTCAAAGACAAATCTCCGCACCGATCTTATTTCAGTGTCGTAAAGATGATCAGTTTTGTAACAGCAATTTGACCACAGTTGGATCATTAAGGAATTTCTGGAGCCTGTGAGGGAGTCACCTCTTTGACTGTCCAAACAAAACGACTAGGGAGAGTCACTCAATACTGGTCTCAGTAGTTCTCCAAGCTGCCAAGCAGAAGCTCCAGCTAGAAGTAATTTAAAAGTATGTCTTGCCGGGCGACGGTTGAACATGCCTTTAATCCCAGCATTCAGGAGGCAGAGGCAGGCGGATCTCTGTGAGTTCGAGGCCAGCCTGGTCTACAAGAGCTAGTTCCAGGGCAGGCTCCAAAGCCACAGAGAAACCCTGTCTTGAAAAACCAAAAACCAAAAACCAAAACAAAAAACCAACAACAATAACAACAACAAAATCTGTTTCAATTAGGCTCCTTTATATTTCGGAAATACTTCAAATTTCTGAGTACTTTTAATCATAAGGCATGTGGTTTGACCTAAAAAAAAAAGCACAGGAACTTTCACTGAATAAAAATTTAAAATCCTTTCCATATGTCTGATTTTGATGTTTAAGAATATTTAATGTCATTTTTAAAGAGCCCCATATCTCATCTGCATAATCACAGGCAAAAAGTCTATAGGCATATGTTTGAATGCTTAAAGCTTTAAGCTTTCACGCCACATGGAGCGATCATTTTCAGAGGTGTTTACAGCTCTGCTCCAAAGACAAATGTGTGCTAAGGGACCTGTCTGAGGAAGCAGTCTGTGCTGCTGATTAAGGAGAAAGGGTGGTAACTTCCGGAGTCTTGAGTTTTAGATAGGCTTCCTTCCCGTATTTTGTTGAGTTTTCCAACAGTTATGCACACACCCACACTCCTTTTCACTGTTTCTCTGTCTTACTCCTACATCTTGAGAGATAATTTGATACCACACCACACTATTTCATATATTTAACTAAACATGTACACTGTCCTGTGGAAAAACCTGAGGAAATTCAATTAGAAAATGTAACCAGTGACTTTCCCTACACTAGTGACTTCACTTTCGTCTCCTTCTTACTAGACATACGTAATGTGAAGAAGTGATCTATCCAATTGTCCAAAATATGTCCAATAATACTGTGGAGCCAGCATTGTTCTTGTACTGGCGCAGAGCAAGGATCCTTTGGCTTTGGGGATCTGCAATCTAGCAAGAAAAGTCAGGCCAACAAGCAACCCAGAAGGTCAGAGATGGGGAAGAGAGAAGCAGCAGAGGAGATGGAGGATTGCTGGAACAAGGGCACAGTGTACATAGCATAGCTGATCTCTTTCAGAAGGTAACATCTGATCAAAGATTTAGAAGCTAGGAAACTTAGTCCTAAGAGTCTCTGAGAAAGTGTCCTGCACAGGGAAGTCAAGGTCCAGAAACCCAACACAGTGGTTCTCAACCTTCCTCATGTTGTGACCCCTTAATACAGTTCCTCATCTTGTGGTGACCCCAATTATAAAGTTATTTTTGTTGCTACTTCACAAAAAAATATATTTTGTTGCTACTTGTGTTTGCTACTGTTATGAATCCTAATGTAAATATCTGTGTTTTCCGGTGGTCTTAGCTGACCCCTGTTAGAGTGTTCTTCCACCCCGCCAGGAGGCACAGGTTGACAACCACTGTTCTAAGACATCAACACCTTGATCTTGAGCTACCATCCTCTAGAACTATCAGAGAACAAGGCTGTTGCTTTAGAGTCTGTAGTATTTTGTTAAGACAGTCTTAGGATATTAATACAGATAGTGAAAATGCCAGAATTATAAGGCTAACATTTCAGGATAAAGAACCTGGATGTTAAGTCTCCCTTTTCTCCAGGCAAAATTCAAAACTCCCAGCTGGCATAATTTTCCTATCTGGCTTGTGGGTTATGGTGACATGGTAGTCACAGCACAGGCATCGGGTTAGACCTTGATCACATATTAGGCCTCAGATAATAGGGGCATCATACTCATATCAGTGGAATGATAAAATAATAATTCTTGTCAAAATTATATATATGTAAATATATATATTAAAACTATGTGTGTGCGTGTGTTTGATATACGTTATCCTTGAATGTGACATGTGCTCCGTAAGTGGCCTGCTTTTTTCATCCATGGGGAAAAACAGTGAGGTCACCTCCACATGATATCACAAGTCTATGTTTACATTGCCCAAATCTGAACTAAAATGGTACCTCTGCTTTGAATAGTAAAACAAGTAGTATTGACATAAATCATATGTCTTCACACAAGACACATTAATACTCAAAAGGTACCAACCTTTTCTATTAAGGTGGATTATGTTGTCAAAACATCTGTTTAATCTTGATGGGAAAAAAAAGACTGTTGTTCAGGAAAATGGTCGCTCTAAGCTCTGATTAATAACTTTCAGGTTTGGACACTGCAGAGAGCTGCTCATGTGATGTACAAGCTGGCAGAGCTGCCCTGATTTCAGCCTTAATCTGCTTTTGGCAGCACCATGGGAAGTGGGGGCAGACCAGCAGCCCGGAGAACCAGGGATTAATTCATAACTTTTGACATCAGAGAAATACGAGGGAAAAAAAACCTGAATGAAACGTGTTTCATATAAACAAATCACAGAATGTCACAGACTTAAAGTTACTGCAAAAACTAAAAACAAAAAAAACACCACCCCCAAAACAAAACTGTGGGAGAAACTACAAATTGATTTGTGCTTAATGGAAGGCCACATTAGAAGCAGATGAAACAGAACTAAAGTGAAGGACAATTTTTAAAAAGTAAATGAAGAAAATGGTAAACATTTACTCTGGACTCAGATTCTCTCTCTCTCCCCCACCTTTGTGTGTGTGTGTGTGTGTGTGTGTGTTCACACGTGTTCTCCCTGCATTAACCCAGCACCTTGTACACAGGTAAGCACTGGCCTTGCCATGAAGCACTTTCCCACTGAGCACAGTAACTTCATCCCTGAGATTAACATTTGATTGTGATAAATTATAGAAAGATTTTCCATGTTAAAAATAAGGCATGTCTTTAAAAAGAAAAGCCGAGTGGGGACAGGATTTCACTTTGGGGTAGAGAAAATGTTCTGGGTCTACGGAAGGTTGTGGTTTAAGAACAGCTTGGATATACTCAGTACCACCGAAGTGTTTACATTATAAGACGTCAGATTTTAAACTCATGTGAATTTTGCCGCAATGTTTTAAAAGTAATGTAAGACTAAAGCACCCAGTGGTGACATTTAACAGCGATATTAGAGCTGAGGCATGCACACCCACCGCATCTGCCTGGACCTACGTAAAAGCCTCTGAGGATGTGAGCAGAAGGCTGAATTTCATTGACTCTCGAGGTCAGGTCACCCTCTCCTGCTGTGCACACTCTGAACCTTCCCAGCCTCCCTTCTTGCTTGTTGCCAGCTCTGTTTGGCCTCCTCTAAGTACTCCAGAGTCCAACTCACTTTCAGTCAATGATATCCTCTTGGCCATCGTCCTCATTTAAAATTGTCCCGCAATACAGTGTGCCTTATTAGCGTCATCACGTAGTATGTTACAACTTCAAGGCCTTAACGGAATTATCTGAGTGCCTTTTGTTATACAGCCCTAATTGTGTACTGCCTAGGTGACCTAATGGAGTTTCTACCCCACCCTTATCTTGCTCATCTCTGAAGATAGGGTGCCTGAAGGCCAAAAGTTCCTCTTCAGGTGAACAGACCAACACCCGGCTGGCTAAAAGATGGCTACCAACGTGGCCACCACAGAAGCTCCCAGTACGTGATCAGTAGCATCCACTACCAGCATCATGACTGATAATAAATGCCATCACAAGAACCAAACAGACCATAGAAGCAGAAAATAAGATGTGAGCAGGCAGAAAGTTAAATGGCTCAGCTGTTATAGAGCTGACCAGAGTTTCATCCCTGGAATCCACATAAGGTAGAAGGAGAAAACTGACTCCACAAAGTTGTCTTCCCACTGTGGATGCTCTCTCCCAACACACACACACACACACACACACACACACACACACACACACACACACACACACACACCATTGGGGGGAACAGTATGTAAACAAACCAATCCAATCAAACCTTTAAAACACCATACCTTGGTACTCTATTACTGTAACTTCTTGGTGGTCTTTTGATGCAGAAAGTCCATTTGTCTTATGATCTAAAACAGTAAAACAGATGGATAGTTAATATGGTAGTCTGTTTTTCAAATGTTTGAGTGGGACACAGCATTCAATAAGCCAGCATAATCTGAGTAACAATTGTTGCATTAATTCAGAACATATACAACACAAATGATCAAAATAGGGAAACCATACCACACATATCACTTTCATTTTCTGTATGGTGATTTGGGCTTTTAGCATTTCCCAAGTGGAATCTATCTCTGGAAGTACACTCTCCTCAGCACCCCTGAAAACGAGCACGCCCTTAATTTACCTTATTATGCAATGTAATGGCTGTCCACCCACCCACCCATCCATCCACCCACCCACCCATCCATCCAACCATCCACATATTCGTCCATCTATCCACCTGCCCCCCACATATCTATCCACTTATGCACCCAACCACATATTCATCCACCTATTCACCCCGTCCACCCACCTACCTACCAACCCACCCACAAATCCATTCATTCAGAGATAGCTTCTCAGAGAAGACTCAACTCTCTTCTTTTTATATAGTCTTTTACTCTCTCATCGACTCCATTACCATTCTTTTGCAAAACCAAACAAAAAACCTTCACAGATTCTTATTAATAGTTCTGATATCTCTTTTGAGATGAAACTTGCAAGCCTCCCTTTCTACTAGACACCTGTATCTCCTTTCTCTACTTCCACCACACACTCATGGGCAAAAGCAACAACCAGCTTGGTTGCAAACCTTCTTTTATTTCTACAAATTTCATCTCAGTGAAATACATCACAATGCACAGGGTTACTCATACCAAAATCTCACACTTTGCCCAGGATACACCCACACAGGCTGAGGATTCTACTATCCACCCAAGTGCTTTGAGTATGTCCTTTTTGCTCTTACATTCATCCACGTTCCTTGTCTCAAGAAGGTACGGAAATACCCAAAATCAAGCAAGAGAAAAATAGGGCACACCTTGCCTCATCACCTTAAAATAAACACTGGTCAGGACAGATGTGAAAAAAATAGATAGCTTAGGCAAGCATTTGAGAAAAGCCACCATTACTAAAATACACCTGTTTCCCAGACTTGTAAAAGAGGAAGTGAGTTGGCCAACATGGATCTTGGTATAGAAAGCACCAATAATAATAATGCTCAATGATGTGGGAGTCCCCTCTGTATGCTAAGCTAAACCACCATATATATTTTAAAGGTATCTTGATTTCATAATTTGGGTCTAAGGATAAATTACTTTGGAAAAGAGCTTCTTCTTTTGTTTCCACAGAGGATGAGAACCTATAAAATCCTTCCAGACTAATGTGGTTTGATGGACGAAGATCCCCCAAAAGGTCACTATAACCACCCCCCAAAATTACTTTGCCCAACAAAAAGCAGGATGCAATTTGGAGAAAACTATGCCCAAATTCCCTAAATGATTGTTTATAAATGTTTGTTTACATTTAAAGGGGAATATGCTATAGAGATTTGCATTGGTATGGATTTTGGTTTATACAAATTTAAGGTCAATTTTGTTATACTGTGTATATGTATTTCTGATCTTGATTAAGGTATTGTGTTTGTGCAGTTCATGTGAAAATGTAATGTTAAAAAATACAGGTTAATAGATAATCATCTATAATAGTCAAGCTTGTAGTTATGTTAGTTAGATTTTCTAGGTATATAGAGATATATTTCAGTTAGTTAGGTATTCTTCAAATCTTTCAAAGAGCTACAGAATACAGCATTTAAAATGTTTTAAAAATTTAGGACTTTTCATGACAGTGAAACACATCTGCTCTTGTCAGCACCAATCTACTTCAAGAGGAAGATGGGCATTGAAGAGGCTCCTTATGGAATTGGTTAGTCATTTGGGCAAGAAACTGCTCTTGCCTGGACTGCCTGATTACTGTGTGAACTGGACATATGAACTGGACATGCATGACCCACAGAAAAATGACTGCTGAACTTGCCTAAAGGTGAGACAGTCCTTTGGGGTTCCTGCTTCATGAAAGAATAGAAAGAGTCTGCTAGACATTCTGCAGAACACAAAAGAAAGTGACTGACAAACTGCCAATATAGGTGGAATTGACTTTGAAAAAAATTTTTTTTTTTTTTTTTGGTTTTTTGAGACAGGGTTTCTCTGTGGCTTTGGAGCCTGTCCTGGAACTAGCTCTGTAGACCAGGCTGGTCTCGAACTCACAGAGACCCGCCTGCCTCTGCCTCTGAAGTGCTGGGATTAAAGGCGTGCGCCACCATCGCCCGGCTGACTTTGAAAATTTCTGCTTCATGGAAAAGTCTACTGGATATTACGGTCCTGTAGGCTGAAGATTGATGCCCCAATGATACAGAAAAACTTTGGGTGACTCTCCAGGCAGTGAGATGTCTCTGTCAATTCTAGAGTTTTCAAAGTTGCTTATAATGCACTTCCTGTTTACTTAGATGGAGTTAAATAATTTATAGTTATAGTTTTCCTTAGTTATAATAAAAGATAAAGTAGATATAAATATTGTAACTGTAATTCTTGCTTGATATCAGTTTTGTTGTATGTAATTTTTCTATGTTAAAGTTAAAACCTTTTTTTTATTTAAAATACAAGACCCACCTCCATCACAGAAAAGGGGAGGTTATGTGGTATTCTCCCCGCCCCCATATCACTGGTTAATAAAGAAGCTGTTTTGTGCCTGTGATAGGATAGAGCAGAACTAGGCGGGGAAAACTAAACTGAATGTTGGGAGAAAAGAGACAGAATCAGGGAGAAGCCATGGAGCACCCTCCGCCAGACAGATGTGCTGAAACTTTGCTGGTAGGCCACAACTTCATGGTATGCGCAGATTAATGAAGATGGGTTAAATTAAGATATAAAAGTTAGCCAATGAAAAGCTAGATCTAAGCCAGGCAGTGGTGCCACATGCCTTTAATCCCAGCACTTGGGAGGCAGAGGCAGGTGGATCTCTGTGAGTTTGAGACCAGACTACTCTAGAAGAGCTAGTTCCAGGACAGGCTCCAAAGCCACAGAGAAACCCTGTCTTGAAAAAAACAACAACCACAACAAAAAGCTAGATCTAATGGACCAAGCAGTGATTTTATTAATACAGTTTCTATGTGGTTATTTCGGGCCTGAGCTGCTGGGCAGTTGGGAAACAAGTGGCCTCCTACTACAGCTCAACATGTACTAAGTTCTTAGATGTCAGACAGCATTGCCAGTGCTTCTAAAGTATGTACTCATGTAACCCTTGTAAGAATTATCTGTGGTTATGGCTTGAATATGAAATGTTCCTCCAACTCTTGGTTTTATTTTGGGACATTTTGGAAACTTTACAAGGTGTGGTCTTGCTGCAGGAAATAAGTCACTGTGGGGTGGGTGGGGTATTGGAGCTAACTTGACCTTGACCCTTTCCCGTCTCCTGCTTTCTGCTTCCTTTCCACCACAGGGTGAAGAAGCTCATTCACCCCATTATAATACTGCTATGATGTTCTTCCCAGGCTCTTTAGGCCAACCAACCATGAAACAGGAGCCAAACTAAAATGTTCCCATCTTAATGTTTTTCTCAGGCATCTTAGTTACAGGTATGCATACATAATTAATACAGTACCCAAGTCCCACATGGTTGCTTACACTCTACTCTGTATTCTAGTCTGTATTATACTGTGCTATGTCAGGCACAGTGCCCCACTTCCCTTCAGTTGAACTGTGAACATGGACTGACAGTTAATACAGATGTCACGTGGAAAGGTCCTAGGTCTATTCTAAGGCAGGACTGGGGAGATGAGAGATTGGTATTGATGAAGACAAAGGTCTGGCTCTGAGCACAGCGGGAAGGTAGAAGTGAAGAGGCCAGTGATAAGGGACACCGTGGGAATCTCAGAAGGCTCTTGACCAGGCTTTCTCAATACTGATATTATGACCTTTGGGAAATCAGGTACTTTCCTGTAGGAGTCTGTCCTGTACACAATCGTGTAGTTACACCATCTCTGGCTTCTATCTACTAGATGCCGGTAGTACCTTGTCCATACCCCGACATCTAAAACTGTAGAGATGGACAGATAAATGTGCCTTGAGAGTGTGCTGTGGAAAAAAGAGAAAGTGTGGTGTGGAAATCACTTGTGGTTGAAAACCCTGCTCCACTCGGACTAGCTAAAGAGAGAGGTATAAAAATACAGCAGCAGGCTTAAGGAGAACAGTTAACTGGGAGCTCCAGGATTTTAAAGTTCTTGGGAAACAGACATTTTATAATGGTAAAAGAGAATTTATCATGTTTCTGGAAGGGGAAAAAATCTTTCACGCGAGATGGCATCTTCTCTTTGACTTATTTATCTGTAGCCATCAAGGCAAAGTTTTCATTTCCTTTTTCACCTCTTTGAAGCATGGTAGCACGTCGCACGGTAAGTTAAAACTTCCCAGGCTCTCCAAGACTTAAGCATCCGGCTCCTCAATCTGGGTTTCGGTCCTAAATTGCAACCTGGTGTGGGTGAAGAATGTAGACCTCCACTGACTCTGGTCCCTAAGAATCAGAAATGCAAATGGCTGTCCAAAGCATGAGGCCACTGGGCTCAGTGATAGAGAGGAGTTAGGGTCACCAAAGAGTCACTTCAAAACAGTTGGCTTTTGTGTTTCAAGAACCATGAAAACGGTCCAGGTAGTCTCTTCAAATCTCCTTTCTGCTTTCCCCATAGACTTCCTTCACCTGCCAGCTATTTCTCTCCCTCTCAAATTCTTCTGAAACCACTCACCTCTCCCTTCTCCAGAGCTACTCCTCTACCGTCGTCTTCTCTCCTTCCCCATTTTACTCTCTAGTGTTCGAAGACAGAGCCTGTACCTTCAGCGAACAGAAGAGGGGTCAAGACTACAGCTAAACGAGATTCTCACAGGCGGGCTTAGGAAAACGTAGGCCTTCTTTTCTCATCCTACATCAAATGATAAAAATCTCTGGATTATGTTCCAAACGTGAAAGGTTTTAACCTTTCCAAGGACACTTTGAAACCTCTGCCTTAGTGTCCACAGCAGCTCTTGGTTATGACCAA